GGAGCCAAGGTGACCAAGTCCGCCGTCAAGAAGAAATAAGCCATCCAAACAACAAAGCCAGCCTAGAGTCTGCATTTTGTGTGTCAATTGGTTTGAAGAATATGAGAAAAGACTTGGTTTTTGTTAGTTGTATGAGTGGCTTTACCTTGTATAGGGCGGCTCTCTCTCTCGTCGTAGCTTTTACTTATTTAGTTTTATGCGTCTGAATTTGTGTTGTTTTAATTTTGGTTTGTTGTTATTGAGTCATTTTGAGACATTATGTGATACAGTCACCTTTAGTTACGAGTAATTTGTATTTCTTCTTAATTGTGTTGCCTTGTGTTTTTGTTTTGTTTTTACTTGTTCACCCATCCCTACAATGTGTTATCCAGCTTTTTAGTCATGAAATTTATACCTGAAAGATTTTCTGAGAGAAGGGCAATAACAATATGGATACATGACTCAACCTCAAATAGGTTATCATCATGGTTGTTCCACTTGGGTGGGACATTTTCTAGTGCCTAAACCTCTAATTATGGCACTATAGGTTTTTTTTTTAAGTTAAAAGATATTTAATGACTATATACATTCCACCTAGATTTTGCTCAAGATTTTTAAAACAATTTACTAGGTCTTGATATTTGTAATAGCTTAAATCTATTACTAGTCGATATGGTTTTCTTTAGGCTTTCCTTTTCAGGCTTTTGAAGCAGAGGTTTCCATACCTATTCCTTTGGAAACTCATATATAACATTGGAGAATTTTAAAAAACTTGAGGTGGCTTTAGTATTTGTCTACTTGCAAAATGATCATGTTACTATGGCTTAACTTTGAAGTTCTTATGTTTAAGCCAACGGAAATGAAAGTATGCCTTGTTGTACAGGCAAACATTCAACTTTTAAGTCTTTATTGTATACGCAAATATTCAACTTTTAAGTTTTTATTGACCATTTTATTCCTTTGTTTAGATATGGTATTTCATTTAGCTCCCATGTTTAAAATTCGTATCTATTTGGTTTTTCAACATTCAAAATAAGATATTTAGTACATAAACTTTGACCTTTAAAAAAAAATATTTATGAATTTATAGATCCAAAATATTTTTTGATAAAAAAGGGTAATTTCTATTCAGACCAAAATTTCCCCCAATTTCTTAAATTTTAATTGCATCTCATCTGAACGTCTCACTTTCTTCCTTCTTCTTCTCTCCCTTCAATTCTGAGAATCCGAAACCTTATTGTTCTGTAAGAACGAAATAGGAAAAAGGTATTCCAATGGTTTCTTGAGGCCTTTTTAGTAGCTGCGGGCAGGAAGGACGATGACGCCGAGCCGTCGTAACTTCTTGAACTCCAAGATCCTCCTTTCTTTTCAACTCGTTCATGGAACGCGGCAAACCCCTTTCTTCTTCTTCAGAATCCAGCAGATCATCGGATCCGGAAAATGCGAAGGTTATTGAATGGGAGGACTTCGAGCAGGAGCTTGCCAGGCTATGGAGTCTCTCTTCGGCGCTCGAGGAAGCCAAGCAACACAAAGAATCTCTCAAGCAAAAGCTCGACTCCCTAATTCAGGTTTCCTTTTCGCCTTATAGATTGCTTCCGTTGATTCGAAATTTGCGGCCTAGTACTTTTTTATTTTTTATTTTCTATCTTCTGATTAGGAATTTTGGCCGCCTGCATTTTTCGTGTCCTGTGTGAATTGGGTATTGGAAACTGGATCTATGAGCTTTTTAGTGATGTTGGAGAATTGCTCCGTTTGGTCTTTGTGGCAAAGGAATTTATGTATGCTAGACGAGGCTGAGGGTTTTAGACCTTTTGTTCTTATTTTCATTTAGGGCTCCCTGGCATTTGTCCTAAAATTTACAAGTTGAGTGCTTCGATGAGGTCGAATTTCTAGTCATTTACATTCTTGTAAATTTCTAGTCATTTACAAGTTGAATTAGAAGGCTAATTAGTGAAATTTCATTAAGAGAACAGTAAAATAGATCGCTGTTGGTTTTCTTGATTTGGTATTGGTGCTTTCCCTTTTTGGGGGGATTGAAAGGTTCTGATAAGTCTATGGACTTTTGGTTGTTATTCGCTGGGCAGGTTGATTCCGAGTCAGTTCGTCGATCAAATGAGCTTGCAGAAATGCGCGAAAAGCTTGAAGCAAGGAAATGTATTGTGGATAATATGGGCATGCGTTCTAAAATTGCATCAGAGGATGTTAAGAAGCAAGAGGAGAGTCTTAGCATTGAAGTTAGATCACTTTTGGTTGCTGGGACTGCTTTATCTAAAGCTAGGAAGCGATTGGAGGTAATTATCTACAGTATGATTATAACTAGAAGCCATATCAGAATTTTCGTTAATATTTCGCAAGATGTATGTTCGGCTCATCGGTAATCATATTACGAAGCTAGTAGAGGTGGAAATACCAATGATACATGTGCACACACACGTTAACAATACTTTGTAGAGAGGCCTAACTTGTTAATAACTAAAGAAAAGGATGACGACTCCGACAGAAAGTCTCGGAGATGCAATTTTAACATATATTATCCCACAGCGATTTTATCTTCTTTAAATGGCGAGTTGCATAAGATTTGGAGTTCTTGTAGTATTCTTCTGCTATTTAGGATGATTCGAAATCCAAGCTATATTAGGTACTCTACTAACTAGCTAGGCAATCGGCATGCTGTTACGATTCCCTATCTTTGACAGGAATCAAATAAGTTACTCTCTGGGGAAGAAGGCTATGATCGTCTTAAATGCTTACAGAAGATGCTGAGAAGAAGACAGCAACATATGATTTCACAAGTTTCATTTCTCTATCCTGTAAAGATCTCGACTAGTCCTGCTAAAGATCAGGAGCTCGAATCATTTCCCAACACTACTAGATTAGGTATGTGCTTGTAAGTTCGAGACAGTCGATAACTCTTGATATATGAGACTTAGTTTACTCCAGGTATTGCAAGATTGTTGGGGGAACTGTTTTTAAAAAACTTCAATATTTTGACCACTTTTTGAAGTGCTGCTAAAGTGATAAGAACTCACTAAAATATATTCACTTTGATACTACTATTTATGATACAAAACCTATCGATCTTCGACCAGCATCGAGAAAATATCAATTCTGTTAAGTTTTTGTAAATGGGATGATGCCAGACTATTGTAAGTTTTCTGTCATAATCTGTTAATACTATTGTTCTTGTCCAGACTATTGTAAGTTTTTGTATTGTTTTCATTCTTCCAGGGAATTCTTCTGGATCTAAACCTGTCAATCATGGATCCTTGACAATATTAGGTCTAAATTTGAATGTGCTTTCATTTAAAAAAATGGGCTTTTTCAGCGATAAGAAAGAGACTCAGAGGTCTGCATCTGCCCTGGGATTTGTAGCTCATGTATGTTCTCCCTCATTTTGACCTCTTTTTGAAGTTGCTTAATGTTGGATAGACTTTTTTTCTTATCTTGTTTGCAGGTGATATTGAATGTGTTTTGTCTGGATTGTTGTGTTAGTGATATATTATGATTTGGTTATGGTTAACCTGTTATGCTTTATGCTGGTTTAACAGTCAATTATTGTATTTTTTGCAGGCTGTTTCCCTCATATCTTCATATCTAAAAGTTCCTTTACGCTACCCTTTACGCTTGAGTGGTTCTCGTTCGTACATTTGTGATTATGCCCCTTCAATAGAACCCACATCATCTGTTTCCTTATCTACCACACTACCTGCCACAAATACGAAGCATGTCGAGTTCCCTCTGTTTTTAGATGGACAAGATACAACGAGAGCTGCTTACGCTGTATTTTTGTTAAACAAGGTATAGTTTCATTTCCTTCATTCCTCGTCTGGATTTTGTGATTCACCAGTTTCCAAGATAAGTAGTTGGTTTTTCGTGCTAAATAAGTAGTTAATAGTTTTTGTGTGAAGTGATCAGCTCAAACTCATTTCACTTTGATGTCGACCTTCTACCATTACTTATTGCATCTGTTAACAAGCCACAATGTGTTGGTCTTTGGAGCTCTACTTGTGTCATAGTTTTCCCCTGTTATCTGTGGCAGGACTTGGAGCAGCTTCTGAACTTTATTGGTGTGAAGAGTTTGGGTCCACGCCATATATTGGCCAACTTGAAGGAGCTTCTGAGGATCATCCAATCTGCAGATTATATTGATAAGTGATCAACATTTTCATATGAAGGTTAGGTTTGTAGGTTGAACAACATTGTAAATGGATCAGTTGCATATTCTTATACAGGTGCGAATTCACCTTTTTCATATCATTATATACATTGTTAGTTATTGCTGATACCAATGTCCAAAGGGAAGTGTCTGGTTTAGTTTGTCGTACCAGCATCCGATGTACCGATGTACCGAAGAAAAATGAAATCGAAATGCAGAAGAAAGATTTGAAAATGAACATACTGCAATGATCATATCACTTGTATCTTTCTCCATTTATTTGTTTATAGTTGAAATGATAGCTAGTCTACCAATTAACATAGCCCTCCCCATGATGCTCATGGAACACCATTTTGATCTCCAGATGCCTCTCTTACATCTAGATCAATTTGAGAGTTCCAAAATGGTTGAAATAATTAAGCTTTTAGCCTAATTTTTATTTGTAACTGCCCATCCCGTATTGTCATATTTGAGTTTTTAACACGTCTACTAGGGAGAGGTTTTCACACCCTTGCAAGGAATGCTTCGTTCCGTTCTTCAACCGATGTGAGATCTCACAAATCCAATCCCTTAGGGGCCAGTGTCATTGTTGGCACACCACCTGGTGTCTGTCTCTAATACAATTTGTAATGGTCCGAACTCACCACTAGCAAATATTGTCCGCTTTGACTTCAATACGTATTATCATTAGTTTCACGATTTTAAAATGCGTCTATTAGGGAGAGGTTTGCAACCCTTATCAAGAATGCTTCGTTACCCTTTCCGTGGAAGCTCACATTATTGAGAGCCAAGTACATAAGTTTGAAATTGAAAAGCCTAAGTACAGAAGTTTGAAATTGAAAGGAACATCTAATATTTATAAAAGGAAGGTGCAAGGACTTTGTTTATAGAGTGTAAACTTACAAGAGGATTGAAAATGAACAGAATTAAATCTATAAAGGGAAAAAAAAGTCCCAACTTAAATAAAGTCCCCAAAACTACAACTAATTCAAAACTGACAGAAAAGCTACGTTTTCTGCCAAACCTTAACACAATTCTAACGCTAACCCTTTTAAGCTAAGCTGGTAATTCAAGCTTGACGTTGTTCTTCCAGCTGAGAGACATCGATCAAAATGGAGTCAGAAAATCGTCCCAGGATTGAGTACATACACACAACATTAAGTTGTTGAACTTACCTCATGATATAGTAGTAAAAGAAATCAGCATACAGCAACGTTTGCACGAGACCAGCCGTCCAAGCTGCAAGAGCGAATTTGTTGGACGAGTAGCTAATTTAGTTCCTTGTTAACGAATATTTTCGTCTGTGCGTGTGTGTGCACGTGCACATGTATGTGATAAAGGAGAGAAACATACTTATCCAACGAACAAAGTAAGGTTCGGTTAAGTAGCGATAAATCCAATTCAATATGTACAATGCACGGTACGCGCTGAAAAGAGAAAAGAGAAGAAAACGAGGAGAGTATGTACGGATTCAAGCTACAAATACTCAGAGAAGACTGGGAATGGAGAGTTACCCAAGAAGGAAGACGTATTGTCCCGTTAAATTGTCGATATTCCTCGTCCTTTGTAGCAACACCAATTGAGGAAGAATGGCAACGGCTTCGACATATAGAGAAAACGTCCACATAACCTATTCATTTCGATTCATTAAGATCAAAGAACATGGGCAGAAAAATGATACCAAGCTACATACATCTATAATGCGATGAACTAACACATCTTCAGCATAGATGAGATCAGTGAACCTAAGATGTGATATGATCCAGTTCAAAAGGAACAGAAGAAAAAGGAACATTATATGTACCTCTTTAAATGTAAATTTATGATTAATAACCAGAGCCAACAGCAGACAAGGCAGCACGATAAATTGATAACGAAACGTGTCCTGGTCCTTGTCGTACGATCTACGCACGACTTTGTGACGTCGCATATACCAAACAATGGAGAGAGAACTCCCAAGAAATATTAATTTCATTATCAAATTATATACTGATGCAAATCTGTCAAATATATCCAAATAACGGGTAACGAAAACCAGGGCGTAAAGTTCTTGAGTCTTCAAAGAAATGCCTGCAGAATCAATACTCAGATTCAGACATGATAATGCTAGCATAACAATATATAGCTCATTGCTCAGTAAAGAAAACATCAGAGACTCATTACAATATCTAAAAACTAATTAAGACCAACCTAACCTGTTCTATAGCTCTAATACGAATCAAATTACCAAAAGAGCAGGAAAATCAAGAACTCCCTCCAAACTAATCCCTTCTCCACATTCTACAATGAGCACTAATTGCCATCACATCCAACCATACAAACAATATTTGTTTTGGTAATTACGCGTGTCACTCTAGGGCCTGGAAAGTGTGAGCAAGTTCTTTTCACTTGCTTTCCATACAAACTTAGTACACCAAACAACGGTAGCTACTCTATCCCACTGGCACGAGGGAAGTGGAGTAAAGAGAAAAGCATGCAAGAGATATAGCTAGACTCCTGGCTCTATTAGAAGTGTGAGATAAAAAATATACGTCTCCATGTTGTACTGTAGTTGGGTGAGGCTAGAGTCTGGAAAGTACGAGCAAGTTCTCTTCACTTTCTCTCGGTACAAATTTGGTACACCAAACAACCGAGCTACTCTATCCCACTGGCACGAGGGAAGTGGATTCAACAAGGAGCACGCAAGAGATATAGCTAGTCTATCCCATTGACACGAGGGTGGAAAGCATGAGCAAGTTCTCTTCACTTGCTCTCGGTACAAACTTGGTACACTAAACAACTGAGATACTCTATCCCACTGACACGAGGGATGTGGAGTAAACAAGGAACAAGAGATATAGCTAGACTCCTGGTTCTATTAGAAGTGTGAGATCAAAAATATATAAGTCCCATGTTGTACCGTAGTTAGGTGAGGCTTGATTTTGATAATGTTAGAAAGTCTTCGAAAAACTTTCTTAGGCAGATAGGATGACTCTTGCTTATTCTTGTCGTTCGGCAGCCAATGACTAGAATTTATCAAACTCGCTCTTATCCAACCCGACAACTATTCCCATGGAAGTGGAGTCCACAGGAAGCACGCAAAAGATATAGCTAGTCTCTTGGTTCTATTAGAAGTGTAAGGGAAGTCCCTGCGTTGTACTGTTGTTGGGTGAGGCTCGATTTTGATAATATTAGAGCCCTTGAAAAATTTTCTAAGTGGATAGGACGACTTCAGCCTATTCTTATCGCTCGGCAGCCAACGACTAGAATTTATCAAACTCGTCTCTTATCCAAACCCGAGAACTAGTTTCTAGGGTTTGAGACTCATTTCGCCCTTTTTGAAACGACCTATCATAGACGATAAGGAATGCAATTTGGCTCCAACAACGGAAATGCATGACAGAGTTCACAATGTTCACAAGCAAAAAAACAGTGCCAAATCCCAAAAACGCGCAAAATTAGAGAAAGAAAACGAACCAGCACAAGACTTGATAGTATGAATTTTGAGGAGTAAAACCAGAATGCTGGCCAAATGAGTCATATCCCCAGCCAATCTGAACACGTTCATCTTCCTCCTCTTCTGAATTTCCCGTTCGAAAGATTCTGATTTTCACGGCGTTCGAATCGGCCGGAAAATGAACTTGTAGGATCAATCTAGCAATTTCCCAGAGCCCTAATTGATTAGCAACGAAAAAAAGGTTCAGATCTTCAGAAGAATCACGATGGGAATCTATTTGAAATGCAATTTAATTTAAGATTTTAAAACCGTGTTGTGAAAATAGTGGTGTATTAGGATTGGGTTGAATAATATTTTTTGACCAACCTAAAAGTTCGGGTTAGTTGAATTGGTAACCCGACCCAACCCTATATTTTTTTGGTTAGGTTGTCGGGTTCAAATTATTTTAAAAAAATTTAAACGAGGACAACAAATTCAGCAGACAACTACTACGGGATGACTAGACGTTGGAGACTAGACTATAGATATCTGGGATTGAACGACATATAGTGAATACGTTTGCCTTATAAAGTAAATGTAAAAGAGAAGAGAAGACTTGAAATTATGCGAAAGGGACACAACATAGACAAGAATAGACAAGAAGACAACCTTAGTTTTTTTCTATGTATTTATCCGGTTCGTGTTAGGGTCAAATTGACCTTAAGCATACTGAACCTACACCCGACCCACTAGCTTCTAAGAAAACTAAATCCAACCCAATTCTTATAATTTAGGTTGAATCGAATCAAGTTGTCGGGTTCATTGTACACTCCTAATAAAAAAATCTAATTTATAGTCACAAACGGTCACATTTTACAGTATTTTGTCTTAAAATTGATGGATATTGGATTTTATCTTTAATTAAGATTTATTAAAAGTAAAATAATTAAATTTGAACCATCATTAACATTACCAAATAAATGGAAATTAACATGGAAATGAAATCCAAAGTATAAGTAAATAGATTTAAAAAATAATTTATAATATAATTTTAAGCCACAAATTTATTTAGTCAATGCCTTAAAATTTGTCCTTGCCCATAGAATTAAATACTTGACTATATATTCAAGTATTTCATTAATCATATCATATAATTTTTTGTGTAATAAATTTAAAAAATATTTATCTCCTTACCATAAAATATTCTTATTTACTAAAAATTTTAGATTTTTTTTTAATAAAATATTCTTATGAAAATTTAAAATTATAGTTACCTATTATATATTTTTATAAAAATATAATTGGATATGATAATTGAGTATAAAAACATTATAGATTAAAATATCATTTTATTCGTATTAATCGTTTAAAAAATTATAAATTATGAAAGTATATTTTTATAAAAAAAAAAAAATTATAATTTTAAAATTAAGATTTATTAAAAATTAAAATTGGATAAACTAAAATAAAATGAATGAAAGTACATAAAATTTCAACAAGAAAAAAAAACGCCTCGAAACAATAAATAGGAATGTTCAAAGAAACCGCCAGCACAACGCAGTTTCAGCAATATGTCAGCCTCGAATTCGGACTTGTGGAGAACATCGCTTTTCCCGAAACGAATCGAATGAAAAAGAAGGATGGACGTTATCCGCTTTGTCGTCATTGTTCATTGCCTTCACGTGGGGATTGCAGCGTGTTTGTTTCTTTACCCTACTTGATTTGCTCCTCATTTACGTTTCTTTTCTTATTTAAATCCCATTCCCTCTCATTTTTTTTCATCCCGGAGTCTAATTTTCTTCTGGGTTGTGAAAATTGGTGAATCAGGCAAATGGGTCGCTTCCCATTTGCCGTTCTTTTTCTCTCTTCATTGTTTGTTTTGAGGTTTTGTTCCGTTCATGGAAGAATTCCGACCACCGTAGAAGGGCCGTTTAAGCCTGTAACTGTTCTGCTTGATAAGAGTTTCCGGGGGAAGGCTCAGGACTTGCCTGAAACTGATCCGAGAGTTCAGAAGAATGGGGGCCAATTTGTGCCGGAGCAGATTTCTGTTTCTCTCTCTGCCGATTATGACTCTGTTTGGATTTCTTGGATTACAGGTTTGGTAAATTCTTATTGTTCTTCTTTTTGAATATGGCTAATTTAGTAGTGAACTTGCTTGTTTGTTTGTACAATTGCTCGTTTAGTAAAGCTCTGATAATTCTATCTGAACTGGTCGTGTGTATGATAAGTGTTCGACGTAATGCGTAAGAGACACCCCTCCTAACACAAGCTTGAATTAGAGAAAGTATTCGGTAAGGATGGCCCTCGTTTTAACACTGCTAGAACTATTAGAGAGAAATTGAAAACTTGATTATGAACATGCTTCGGGTGGTTTCTCTATTTGAGAGAAAGTATTCAGTAGCGTAGCGTCTTCACCAGTACTCGTTCCCTTCTCCAATCAATGTGGGATCCGCTCATCCACCTGGGGCCAAGCGTCCTTGTTAACACACCACCTTGTGACCACCCCCTTTGGGGCTTAGCCTCCTCGCTGACATATCGCCCGGTGTCTGGCTCTGATACTATTTGTAACGGCCCAAGCTCACTAATAACAAATATTGTCCTCTTCGAATTTTCCCTTCCGGACTTTCCCTCAAGGTTTTTAAAACGCGTCTGCTAGAGAAAGGTTTCCACATCCTTATAAAGAGTGTTTCGTTCCCCTCTTGAAACGATGTGAGATCTCATAGATCTCGATGATCTTCGATGAATGTGCAGGGGACTTTCAAATTGGAGACGCCATTCGGCCATTAGATCCTGAGAAAGTTGCGAGTATTGTCACGTATGGGAAGTTCCTCATGCCAATGAAAAACCAAGCAAAGGGTTATTCTCTTATCTACAATCAACTTTATCCCTTTGAAGGCCTCAAGAACTACACATCTGGAATTATACACCATGTTCGTCTAACGGGTACGATCGATTCCAATTCTAATTTTTGACTTCTGCTAGAAGATTTTTGGAGCTCACTTGTTTTTTCTGACAGGATTGGAGCCTGATACTTTGTACCAGTATCAATGTGGAGACCCTTCAGCTGCAGAAGAAATAAGTGATATCCATTATTTCAGGACCATGCCTGTTTCTGGACCTAAGAGTTATCCTAATAGAATAGCATTGGTTGGTGATCTGGGTCTTACATACAACACTACATCAACAGTTGATCATATTTTGAAGAACCATCCCGATCTTGTGCTATTGATTGGGGATGTGAGTTATGCAAACCTATATCTTACAAATGGCACTGGCTCTGATTGTTACTCTTGTTCGTTTCCTCATACTCCTATTCACGAAACTTATCAGCCTCGTTGGGATTACTGGGGAAGGTGAGTCGGGTTTTCCCCCCGTTTCTTCCTTTCAAATCTTCGGTATGCTTAGAACCATTATGCAACCTTCTTTTATGTTTGTTATATCTTTTTCGATCGTTAACGCGCAAAATCTTCGGTATTTCTAACTGCTACGTCTATGAGCCATTCTATAGCATAGTGATGCCTCATACAAAATCTATGCATATTTGTTCTAAAGAGATTGTGAATCTGCCATCCAAATGATTTAAAACTATTTAGTTTTTGAAGTCTTCACCCATCAGCCTTTCAATTTTTCAATTTTGTTAAAGTAAGAGTCTAAGCCCCACCTCTAGCAGATGTTGTCTTCTTTGGGCTTTCCCTTTCGGGCTTCCCCTCAAGGTTTTTAAAACACGTCTGGGAGTGGTTTCCACACCCTTATAAGGAATGTTTCACTCTCCTCTCCAACCGATGTGGGATCTCACAATCCACCCCTCTTCTGCTCAGTGTCTGGCTATGATACTATTTGTAACAGCCAAAACTCACCGCTAGCAGATATTGTCTTCTTTGGTTTTTCCTTTCGGGCTTCCCCTCAACGTTTTAAAACGCGTCTGTTATGAAGAGATTTCCACACCCTTATAAAGAATGTTTTGTTCTCCTCTCCAACCAACGTGGGATCTCATAGTTAATAATACCCAACTTAGATGATTCACTTATTCAAAGCTCAAAGCACTAGTTGAAAAACTGCGGGGAATTGATCTCTTATAGTTTTTCTATTATCAGGTATATGGAGCCTCTAATATCTGAAGTTCCATTAATGGTGGTGGAAGGGAACCATGAGATCGAACCACAAGCTGAAAATCGAACATTTGCAGCTTATAGTTCTCGATTTGCATTCCCATCCAACGAGAGTAACTCGTCTTCGACATTTTACTACTCTTTCAATGCAGGTGGCATTCATTTTATAATGCTTGGTGCCTACATTTCATATGACAGATCAGGTAAATCCACAACCTGCCCCTTTTTTCACAATCTTTTAGATTAAGAAGCTTGATTTTGATTGAAAATGGCTGAATTCATTGTGCTTTATTTCGCCCATTGCAGGTGACCAATACAAATGGCTAGAACAAGACCTGGCTAAAGTTAACAGGAAAGTTACTCCATGGTTGGTAGCTACATGGCACCCACCGTGGTACAGCACCTACACTTCTCATTATAGAGAAGCAGAGTGCATGAGAGTGGCAATGGAAGACTTGCTCTACAAGTATAAAGTTGACTTAGTTTTCAACGGCCATGTATGTCCTCTTTATTTGTTTCTGCTGCACACGTAATATTGTTCGTGCATAATCTGACGATTTCGATTCACGATCAGGTTCATGCCTATGAGAGGTCAAATAGAGTATATAACTACACTTTGGATCCTTGCGGTCCGGTCTACATAACGGTAGGTGATGGAGGTAACCGAGAGAAAATGGCAATTGAACATGCTGATGAACCCGGAAACTGTCCAGACCCGTCCTCGACACCGGATGAATACATGGGTGGTTTCTGTGCGTTCAATTTTACATCAGGCCCAGCTAAAGGAAAATTCTGCTGGGATCAGCAACCTGATTATAGCGCTTATCGTGAAAGTAGCTTCGGCCATGGCATTTTGGAGGTTCGCCTTCTCTCTCTCTGCTTGAATGAAATTTCATTTCCATGTCGTATTGGAAATACACTCTGGAAACTCGATGTGTGGGGAACTAAAGAGTATTCTTTGCAGGTGAAAAACGAAACTCATGCGTTGTGGACATGGCACCGAAATCAGGACTCGTATAGATCTGTCGGGGATATAATATACATCGTACGACAACCAGACGTTTGTCTCAATGAGATGAAGGTACATACATACAGACATGGAAAACAAGAAGATATGTGACAATATAACCGTGGTACATATTGCTGATAGAACCCCTGCTGTTTGTTAATTGCCACGCATTACACTTTTCTGATCT